TTGAGCTTGGGTAGATCAGCGACTTCTCCGTCCCGAGAGGCGAGCCATTCGGCAAGCTCATCAGCCTTCTTCGAAATTGCCTCGCGCTCCTTGGGTTTGCTCGCCACGCTGAAGCCTTCGTCGTGCACAATGTCACGAGCACGGTAGATGGAGGCTTCCAAAACGTTGCGAGCTTCCTCACGAGCGACTCTGCTCTTCGCCTCGGTGTTGGCGACGTACAGTCTGTCCTTTGCATTGCCCAAGTCCGTTCCCGAGTATGGTCTGATGCTTCCCAGCGGAACGGCGCGACCGACCAGGCGAATCGCTCTGTCGGTGGGAAGCGCCTTTTTTGATTTCTTGGTCTTGGCAGGTGCAGACGAATTCTTTGCAGCATCATCTGCGATCGTGCTGTTGGTATCCAACGCACTGTCTTCCTCTTCCTCGTCCACCGCATTTGCGCCAACGTTGAAGAACGACTTCAAAGCTCCAGCAATACCGCCGGGCTTCTGTGTGACGTTTAGCCAAACCGCGCCAATGCTGTAGGTGCCCAAAGGCTCGCTGATGATCGTGAGGTTCAGATTCAGGTCGACTTGATCAAGTTCACCTCGTTCCTTCAGACCGGCCAGGTAGTTGTCCGTCTCCACCACCTCGAAGCGGTAGAGGTCTGCACCGAAAGAGTCGAGCTTTGGGGCGACGGAACGGTCGTACTTGATGTCGAGACTAAAGTCAGATGCTGCCTCTTTGCCACTATAGTGTCTGACATGCTCCGTGTTCTCGAAATTGCCCGAAGGGTAGATAATCTCTTCCTTGCCGTTCGACTCGCGCAGCACTACAGGGTAGACGTTGCCATCGAATGCGCGAATCGCTTTCATACGGAATTGCGGGTTAAAGGTTGCCCCATAGAAAGCCGCGCCCATGACAGCTGCCTCATCTGCATTCACGTTTTGGGCGATCTTCGAGTCTGGAACACCAGCGACACGAAGGGCGGCCTGTACGAAAGGTACTCGCGACATTCCGCCTACCAAGACGATGCTTTCCAAGTCGCTCTGTGGTGAGAGGCCGACAAGGACTGAGTTGTCTAGACTGCATCAGCTGTGAG